AATCACGCTGGCAGCATGACTCCCTAACAATGTCCATAGTCCCAAAGGCCTTCTGCAAACTTTCTGCGCCTACTGTGACAGTTTTTGCCCTTATAGGAGGTTTTGACATAATTGGAGGTTCTGCCAAATCTTTGGGAAAAAAACATCCCATAGGACCGTACCATTAAATCTTCTCGCAAACTACCTCAAGGTTTCAGAAATGCCAAAGGAAGCGTTGAGGGTACAGTATCAAAGTTGGAATCATGGAGAGCGGTTGCAGTTGCACGATATGAGATTGCCGTTCACGCGTTCTGACTCGGATGACCGCAGGCGCTACGACTCTTCCGCTGGTCCCAGTGAGTGCGCAGTGAAGACGGAAATATTCCGCGCAGTGCTTAGATGTCGCAGTGCATCCGAAGCACCGTCGGACGTGCATCGACAAAAACAGCCGTCACATTCACTCTATATGGTGCTCATGCGACAGTTTCCTAACGGCGATCCCGGTTGGACCGTTGCTTCTCCGCATGAACAATACGGTACCGCGCAAAACAACACAGTCACTCCGCTGCAGTTGTACGCGCATGGAATAGCCGTGCGTAGGGGTGTGTTCAATTCGTTACGTAGGGCAGGAGAACTGTTTCAACGATACTATGTGCACGGGTATGTCTTTGCTGAATCCAACCGATTGGAGTCCATCAGATGAAATTTAAAAAACCGCTTCAGATTGAGTGCTATCAGGGCTTTGCCAACCACATTGCCAATGTCGTTCTCGAGCAGCAAGCGCGCGATGGCAACATTTTCATTCTCCCTTCGTCTTTCCTAGGTAGCTCGCGAAACATGCAGAAAAAGTACCAAGACGCAATGGCAATGGTGCGCAAATACCGCCGCCAGGATATGTTTATCGCTTTCACCTGTGACCCGAAATGGGTCGAAATCGGCTCAGAATCGGGTGACAACCAACCCCGATGCTTCTTCGCGCCCAAAAGGTATTCGCGTCGAAGGTGCAGGAGTTACGCGAGGATATGGTACAGAACAGAATTTTCGGCAAGGTAGCTGGTCTACATCTAAGTCATTGAATTTCAAAAACGCGGATTGCCACAGCGACATTCGCTGTGGGTTTTGCACGAGATGACGTCGAGTTCAGAAATGGCGACGATATCAATCGAGTCGTGAGTGGAGAAGAGCCGATCGGGAACTGTATGACGTCATTCCGCGAAATGACATTCGCGGTCCGTGCGGGCATCTCGAACCAAATTCACCGTGCGTGGAAAACGGGAAATGCACGAAGCAGTTCACGAAACAGTTGAGAGATTAAACCGAGGCTACCGGTGACGGTAAGCCCTCAGTGCAGGCGTCGTGACGACTCAAACGAAAATGATTTATCGTTCGCGAGAGCGCGGGGATGATGGATTTGCTGTGCCGTACAATGCCTATTCGAGTAAAAAGTACAACGCTCACATCGATTTCGAGATTTGCTTCAAGGTCGGCGGTGCGTTGCAATACACGATGAGATCCGTAATTTTCTCGACTATCGCTACCTCGGCACTCCTGAGGGAATGTGGCGCATCCTCGAAAACCTAATGGCGTCGCAAGGAACGACAATTTGACGTACACCAGGGCCCTTCCAATCAATGCATTCGGGTGAGGAGCCGTCGAGGACAATCCTGATATACCCCGACGACCGGCAGAAGCTGGACGCGAAGGTTCATCCTGAGACCAACTGTCTCGAGGAGTACCAGGGGGGGATCGTCTGCGTCGACAGTCACTCAACGGGAGGTGGAGCCTGTAAAGGTGAGTGTCGTTCCGCTTTAAGAGTCGCTCGAAAGGGTTTAGAAAGTTTCTTTTTCTGAGTAGTTATTCCCTTCCGAGCGATATCCGCATGTCATGCGGATGTCGCTCGAAACCCATTGGGTTTTCTGACGTCGTTGCAGGACAAGAAACCTCTGATCCTGTACGACGACATGGGCTCGTACTATTTCGCTCTTTGTGGGTCCGAACCGGCCCCACAAAAAAAACCTTGGGCGCCCGTCCACGTAGACTACATCGAGGATGCTGGCACGAACGAGTGAAGGTCGTTCGAGGGTGAAATGGCCGTGTTCCGCCTGAACGCTCCGGTTCGACCAGAAAGGAACGGCTTTGCTCTGAAATGTGTTTATTTTTTAATCGGGTGATCGTTTGCATTGGGTCTATGCTTCAGAGCATCCCGTGAAATGCTTTGCTTCATCGACCTCGGTTCAAGTCCATCCGTCCGAATATACATCTAATATCGATCGCGTGGACCTTGGTTCATTACGAACCCTCGTAAATTAGCCTACCATTATATTCAGCGCATTTTATACCCATCCCAACAACTAGGTGACATGGGTCTCCTTCGAATGACTAACTCATCAATTCTCACTCTTCAACGAGTTCTCAAAACATACAAAAGTCCACTTCCTCATATACCCCTCGGAGAGCGTCTTGAGGAACTCCGAACACAGAATTGCATGGGCATATTTGAGGCTACGTCATATCGGAGTCGTTCTGATCGAAGCCGATCTGTCTCATCGTGCCTTCAGTGATCGATTCGCTGGTTTAACTCTGATACTATGAAAAGAACTTCATGATGCCCGTCACAAAGGAAAACAGATTCATAATGCCTCAGCAATTACAGTAATATAGTTTCAATGTCGGAATGACGCCCAATAAATTTCGATTTCGCATCATTGCAACTTTTTACAATATTACTCAGCATAGCTAAGCAAAGAATTTGGAACTATTAACTTCATATGTATTGAATCTATATGATACTATGAATACCATGAAGAGGTAAGAGTATAAGAAAACATTTAAAACTACAATATCTGGAATTTTCACGATCCGCATTCATACGATATAAGTTGTCGAAGGACACTCATGAAAACGGCTGATTTTTCGCCTTGCACTTTTTTCGATCGATCCAAGCTCTTATGATATTCACCACAGGCCTGCTTAGAACCACGACCGATTAACGATTTGGAGAGAACTTCTCCACAGGAGAGATGAAGAAACATTGAGATACTATTCAACATAAAGTGATCCGGTCGAGGAGGACATCACAGGCGGAACCTCTCGTAGAGGACTTCGTAGACGATCTCGGGGAGATGCGTGGCGACGAAGCAGCGGACCCGGTAATAGAGAGTGGTCGCCTGGTAGCGGGGCAGGGGATGAGAGTCCGTCAATGCCGATGTCATCGCTCGGATCACCGGAGTGCGGTCTTTCAACTACACCCAAAACATGTTAAACATGAATTCCACGAGGTTGCATTATCCGAGGCATTAGAAATGGGGCATGAAAGCAGAAAATGCTTTTTTTTTGTGCTGAGTCGGCAAAATATCCGCTTCAATTAATCTCCCGTCTTCGAAATTAACTATCTGAAGCAGCCTTGGCATAAAAAAGATACAACTGGAAATACGCAATGGGCCGTAGCAGTTTTCCTGTTTCCATCTTACACCAACGCGGCGTTTCAAAATTTTATAGCCAATGTTGCAGCCCGAATTATTTCTCTACTTCTCCCAGTTCCCTTTTCTCGCGACAGAAGCGAAGCCTCACCCCCGATTGACAGAAGGAAAGCTGGAGCTGGAGGGTCCGATCGAAGTCCTCCTTCCCGTAATCCGACTTCACTTCTGCGTCCATCCCGTCCCACATCTCCTCAGCCACCTTCATCACCCAGTCCTCCGTCAGGATCTTCGTTGCTGTAAAGAGAAACAGAATTTCAAAGTGAGACCTTCTAAATTCATGTTATTAATCTAGGGAAAGAAGCTCCCTCTCTTCAATTCCCAACGCCGTAATTTTCTCGCCTCTTATATGTGACTCGCTTGCATGCCGATTCTTTCTCGATTTTCCTCACTTCAATAAAGAACAACAAATTACAAGTTACTTTTATTTTTTCCTTCTTCCCAAAACTCCCTTAAAAAAAAAAAGCGTAGCAGTCCTCAAAGACGTCGCTAGGTCATCTTTTAAATCATCAGTCACGACACAGAGAGAGGCTTCATCATTCTATACCCAGAGATAAAAAATAATAGAATTTTCCTTTCAGTACCAGCAACGAAGTTGCCAGGTTCGATGACGCAGACGTGGACGCCGAACCTCCTCATCTCGTAGCGGAGGCAATCGGACAAGCCCTCGAGGCCATGCTTGGTCAGGACGTAAGCTCCCCTTTGTGCCGCTCCCATGCGGCCCAACACACTTGCCACGTTCACCACGCGNGCCTGTAATGAGAAAGACAGAAAAGGGGGGTAGTATTAGAAGTTTTACAATTCCAGCACAAGCTTTCGTGGAGTATCCAAAGCATTCATGAAGCAATGCAATCATATAATCAAGTGGGGTGGTCTCTTCATTACTACACAGTGAGTTTTTACAAATTGGGAAATAAAATTAATAAAGATTGACTCTGAAGAAGCGTTAAAAACCGTTACGATAACGGCTAAGACTTCTTTCACATCTGATGCAAACAATTCCAAGTCGAAAATGTGAAAGGGCACTCTAGTGTGAAAGGGCACTCCCGGAAAAGAGGGGAGCCGAGGATGTGAAAGAAACTCAACAATATGAAATTTTTTGCAAAAAGGGAAGAAAAGGTCCACATTCAGAAGAACTTCGCTTCGCTCATTCCCAATATAAGAAAGTTCTGCCGGACAAGCATCTATAGCACCTATTGATGAATGTCATTTTGATCAAATTCATATGTATTTTTTAAAAGTAGAAGCGAAAGTGAACCTTTTGTTCGACGAACGAGGGGAAGAAAGGTCTTGGTGACCCTGATAGGACCCCAGAGGTTCACCTCGGCCGCCCACTTGAAGGCGTCCAAAGACATCCATTCCACCTTCCCGTAATTGGAAACTCCAGCGTTGTTGACGATCCCCCAGAGACCTCGGGGCGGCAAATTCTCCTTGACGTAGGTTAAGGCATTCCTAAGGTCGTCGTCGTTGGTGACATTCAATTGCAGGACGTGGATTCCCTCAACTCGGGACAATTCCTCGCTGCCTTCTCCTCCCTTGTCCTTGAAGAGACATCCGGCGAACACCACGAAACCCTGCCGCCGAAAATCACTCCGTCGTCTTAGATATCCTGCTCATAGGCCCCTCCTGCACGTAGGAAATCGGAATTGCACTTGGAAGACAGAATCCACCCACCGTGAAACTCTTCTTAATCCTGACTTCAGGGACTGGAGAATTTGCACGGGTTAACGACTCGTCTGGCTTATCGGAAACCCTATCGAGTGACGACCAATAATTAATATTTTTTTCTAGCGAAGAAAACTGCACCCTAATATACTCCAAGATGCCTTAATTAGTTTTCTGCGATGTTAATTAAATTTCACCGGATTTTTAACGGGACATTTTAGATATCCTGGATTTCATTTATTGTTTTAATTCTTGAAGAAAAAACTCTCACTGGGAACGTTTACTCAAGACGGCAGAAAGATTAGATACATCTTGAGACTCTCATGACAATAATGGATGAGATGGACTGGGGGATAGGGATAGTCTGAATTACAAAAGCAATCCTGGATTTCAAATTTTAGAAAACTTAGGATGGGGTGGGATTAAGAATCTTTTCTTTTTTCTGTATCATTCTAATTGTGGTGAGGGGGTGTGAAGAGGTGGGAAAAGGACCCCGAACACGTTCTACATCTATTACAGGGACCCTTAAGTACATACACCTTGTTTCATTTTTAAGGCAATTGTAGTGAAGCAGTGATACTGATGCGCTCAAGGGACTGGAAATGCTTCAGCTTCGCATGTACCAACTTTCATATCGAAGTCCATGATAGTTATAAAATGGTCACCATTATCAGTTGTTATGCGTCCAATTACATGCAAATATGCAATTGGTCGGTTATTCAGCTAATCCCTATTGTAATCTTGACGAATGAAGGTTAGAAGCCCAGTAGAATTCATGATAGTTTCGTGAAAGTGGAGACTGCCTTGCCAAGGAAAGCAGTTTACAACAGAAAAGACGATTGTGCGAGCGAACGGCGTCCGGGCCCGGCATGCCTATTCCAACTTGGAGGATTCGGTAAGGAGATGCGGAAGGAGGTATCCTCCGACAACAAAAAACCACGAAAGATATCCATGAAGGGTAAGAATCACACATGTGTTTCATTACGGACGTTAAAATATGAGGCGACGAAGAAACTCTCTACTCTTGTAACGTTCCATGAAATAATAAATAACTCAGGAACTCGGGCAGCCCGGTTACTCACCAAGGAATGAAGGTGTAGGGCAAGAGAGTGACCGAAACCAGAGTCGCAACCGGTTATTAGCACTCCTCTCCCATCTGGTGATATCTGGAAATTTCAAAGTAAACTGGGCAAGATGCACCTCGTTCCGTAACGTATGTCCGGAGGGGACGGTGGCAAGTCAAGACGACGCACCTTCGGCCGGGCCCTGAGGAAGAGCACGGCGAGGCAGGCGGAAGCGAGACACGCGAAGACCAACGGCGGCCACAGCCCCAACAGCCACAGCACGGGTGAAAGCAAGGCGACGAGGATGC